ATACTATTTTCTTTGTAAATTTATTATTATTTCAAAGTTTGTACTAAAATATCCGGATCTGCGGAAAAAAAAACGATCACGTGAATTTCTCTGTCTGCCACGTGATCGTCACCCAATGAAATCGCAGATTTTAGTTTTTCGCTCCAGACTAGTATTTATTTAAAAGAAAATTTGTAAAAAAAAAAAATTTCGATTATTTTTAAAAAGAGTATTTTGCTAAATCATATGAACTCAGCTAGGTGATTAATTACCATCATATGAGTATTATTATCTGTACTAAATAAAAATTATATGTTGTATCATGTTATGCTTTGAATTTTATGACCTGAGGATTTTTACCATTATGGAAAATCATATGAATATAATTAGTCGAAGATTTAGTGTTAGTGTTGTCAAAACCCTTACGTATAGTTATTATCATCTACCCTACGTTAGAGACTGGCATTATTGAACAGAGTTTAATTATGATTGCGAACTTTATAATTGATAAGATATAAAAAATATTTAAAAATATAAAAAAAAATTCCCTTTTTTTATTTCTTTATTTTTTTTTGAAAAAAATTTGCAAAATAACTAGCTATTATAAGTTCCAATTTCTCTGTGTCGGCTATCAGGTCACCATAAATCAATTAAATCTTGATCTTGATCATAATTACTGTATAATTTAAAAAATAAAAAAAATATTTAAGAAATTTATTTGAAAAATTTATAAAATTTATTTAAAAAACTTTTTAAGAATCTATTTAAAATATTTTAAAGGAGAAATATTTTTAAAAAGAAATATTTAAAAAATAAAAAAATTAAAAAATAACTATGATAAATAATACCCTGATTATACATCATAAATCAATTAAATTTTGATCAAGATTATAATTACCATTTGAACTAGAGTTATAAGGTCCTAATAAATCCATTGTTCCATGGACGCATTATAACCGTTTTGGTTGTTGATAAAAGGTTCTACTATGAGCCTCAATAAAAAATTCTTGTTCGAATAATTTTCTATAATGTCTTTTAATTGGAATTACTGTTTCCATCACAGATTTTGTTACATCGCGAAGTTTCTTTTGTAATAATATTTACAATGCATCCACTAGTTTACTTCAATTTCGGTCTTAAATCCAAATTGAATCATTAATCTTCGTGCGTAATCCAAAAATCCATATAATCTTTGATCGAAATTTTATAAATTTAAATTAGAACTTTTTGAGATTCATGATTTTTCTTCCATAAAATCTGGGCCGTTTTAGGAAAATCCACGGCATTAGAATATATTTGTGCAATACGTCTATATTATCGTTACATTTGTTGCATTTCAACCATCTTGATTTTCGAGCCCGAATATTCATAGGCTCATAAGCATTTTTAAAATTAATTTTTGATAGGTTATTAATAAACCCAATTTTTGTAGTTTGTTCAAAAAAAGGGTAAATTGGACAAATAATTTGTTGGTATTCTTTAAATCTCCCTTTCTAGATAATTAAAAGAAAGATTTTTTTATAGAATTACAATTTACAAATACCCTGATCTCAGGTTCCTTTTATATTTGAACAAAAAATATTTCATGATCCCATAAACAGGTAAAACGATCAACGAAACACTTGTTTGTGATACGCAGATGATGTGGCTGAAAAATAAACAAAATTTATTTTTTTTTACAGAAATTTCTTACATTTATAATTAAAATTTTTTTTTCGTTAAAATAAATTACAGCCCCCAAAAATTTTTTTTCAGCCCATTGGATTTGATGTAGCATTGTGTAATAGAATATACAGTATGTTTTTTTAAAAAAAAGAATAACGTTGGCTATGACCGGTTATGATTTTTTTAAGTAACCGCGTTGTACCATCATATCCTAATTCCTGAAATGCATTGCGTCGGGAAGCCACATCAGGGGCACAACTAAGCAACCGTTTTTTTATTTATGTCTTTTTAAAAATATAAAACTTATTATAATTTTTTTAATTAAAATTTATTAAATCTACGCTTGAAAGAAACATTGCAATTTTGTAACTGTAGCTTTATTTATTGTTAAATGTGGCAAAATTTCCCGGTATCAGAACAATTGTTACCGCATTTCACAACATAAAAATTTGTAAAATTAATCATACATGGCTGTACATGAATTAGTCAAATATCTGATAATGACACAAAAAAAAGGGTTATTTTATCCCTATCTTATTCCTTTTACAGAACTGAATTACTTAAAATATTCCATTCTACTTGTTAATATCATAATATTTTTTTCGTTCTTTTTTTTTAAAACCGGATCTTTTTTTATATTAAAGTTTTTTTTAAAAACCGAGATTTTAATAATCTTTCATTCCAATTTTTTTTAAAATTGAATTTTTAATATTTTTCATCCCGATTTTTTTTCTGTCTTTTAGGCTTAGAACTAGATCTGATCGGATTGATGTTGCGGCCCTACGATAAGCGTGATTTATTTTTAATAATTTTTTACTAATTTTTTTTTCTATTTTTTTCTTTATCAAATAAGCTATTTTTTTTGTTGAATATATTGTATGATTTTAGCTAGGATAAGCATATTATTTTTACTTAAAAATAAATAAACGTGTTAATATTATATAAGATCTAATTTATCTAAATATAAACAAAAATTTCATTCTTATACTCATTTAATCCTGTTGCAACGCAACAGGCTACAGCTAATTACAACTAATTTAATTTATTATCAGTTTCTTTAAGTTTCAAACATAATTTCATATAAAGTATAATTCTAATTATTATAAAATACTTTAACAGTAAAAATTTTCAGACGAATGTAAAAAAGAAGATAGAATTAATAAATCTTATTCGAATATGAAATCAGAATAATCAACCGTATACTTAATTTTCATAATATTCCAATCCGCCTCATACCGTATTCTTCGTATTCAAGCGATTTTTTTTTTCGCAAGTACGATTCTGCGCCAAACATTAAAGAATTCTGCACGTGCCATCACGGGAATTTATTCGTGGCGGATTTTCTCGGCGAAGATCAAAATGCCGTTAAAATAGTAAAATGTCCGTTTCATTTTGGAACATCTATAAAGGCGGGAAAATCGATTAATATCGTGATGACATGTTTCAAGAAGCTAAACGAACAATAAATAAATCTACCTTATTATTACTTTGCGGAATTTACAAGCTCGTTTGTTGTAAGTATCGATGATGCAAATAATAGTAGGATTGAAATTTTATTAGAACTTTTATCTTGATTCTTGCTTATATTCGTATAAGGCGGATAAAATGATTGAATAACCGGGGCGACACCTTTTTATATAATTTACAGCGAGAGTAGTAATAAGATTCTTAATTTGTAATTTATAGTAATTTAGATCTCCTTTGTTTTTATAGGGCTAATCAATTATTAAATATTATTATAAATGTCATACACGAGCAACATAATATGTAAATTTTAAGGTGGAATTGTGAATACACTAGTATAAATTTACTATAGTAAAGTCTAAACTTATAAATTAAGAAATTAAAGGCGCTAACGCTAAACAAAAGAAAAAGATAGATGAAATTTCATCTGGATTTTCAGTTTAAACCGGATATTTGTCATTTCCAGATAACTTTGATATCTGAAAAGAATCCGGATAATTTGGGTATGGATCAAAACATTAAATAGCAGAATAAGAAAAAAAACGCTGAAATTTAATAATCTAAGTATGTATTTAAAATGCTTTATAAAAATTATAAGACTAAGTTTAATATACAAGCATATTAATAAACGACAATTGCCTATTAATCAATCAAACAAAAATTAATTTAGTTATCAGCAAATCCTAACAAATCTAACAAATCAAACTAAATATAATTAATATAATTATAAAAATTCGAAACCGATAATAAAATTTCCTAAAGAAAATTTAAAGAAATGAGTTGGCTGATTGAATTAATTTGATTTAATGAAGTATTAGATGCAATATTATGCCCACAATGAGTAATTGGAAGTTATCTATGTAGTAAAGAGATTAAAAATTATACACATGTGTAATAATTTTTTCTTCGGGATATTTTTCAGAATATTACGTAAATGACACGTGCTAAATACTTGTTACTACTAGGAAGTCCTAGTGAATATAAAGTGATAAACAGATAAAATGTCTCATTAAGAATCATTGTGTTCAAAAAAGGAGTATATCTTATTCTCCGTAATAATGTAAATGTGCATGTTTTCTTAATTAAACATTATACTTCTGTTAGTCTAATTTTATCTCATGGTTGACTTTTTAAGAATGGATTTTTTGTTTCCCTGCGGAGTAAATGATTAATCTTTAAATTTTATAAATTAATTATGCAATAAATTAACTTATTGTGTTATATTATCGATATATTATAGTTTACTCATCAAAATCGAACTTTGATTTTTTTTTAGTCTGAATTTCGACTCATTAAACATAATAAATAAAGTAAAAATTAAGCACAATTAAATAAAAATTATTAATTTAGTTAAGAAAGAATAAAAAGACAATAATATTATATTTAGCTCAAAAAAAGTTGATCATTAACATATGATAGTTTTTTTTCCTATCACCGGATTTTATTGATGACTTAGTCAATCTTCATCACCAATACGGTTCCAATTGAGAGATTTTGAAATTTTATTTTATGTGGTTGATAAATTAAATTTTATGAGGTTTTGATTAATAAAAACTCTGTTTTCCAAAAGCATCATTTTTAGAAATATATTTCATTAATTTCGTAGAAATAATTTTAAAACTTTTTTTTTTTTGTACAATCTTTAATATTCCGTATTTTTACATCATGTTTTTACAAGAAATAAATAAATTATAAATGGTTGGTGATGATCTCACAAGTTAAATGAAAATATATTTAATTTGTTTATGATCAGATGACAATGTAACACATGACAGGTAGATCAGTTGACAATACTAAAATTTTGTTGGTCGCACCAGTTTAGCCGTATTGAAACTCTAATTTTTTGCAATGCAATTTTTTCTACATAAAAAAACACAGTTTTTTTTATAAATATGTCTAATATTCGAGAAGATTTAATTTATGCAGCTCTTACAAGGGCACATTTATCAATTGATTATAATATTCACAATAACTTCCACAAACAATATGAATTTTGTGAACAAGTAATTCTTGCTAATAATTCTCTAACAGAAGAAGAAAAAACTGAAGCAATAAGAAGAAATAATAAAGATTATGACGCAGATAAAATTTTTTATAATGAAGGAACAAGAAGAATTTGTGAAAATTGTAACCAAAAATGTTTAGCTACATTATATTGTGAATATTGTGTTCAAAATTATTTAAAAGCAAATTTTCCAAATTGGACATCTGGAAATAATGATATCGATAATTTAATAAAAAATTGTCAATCAGAAACACTTATACCAAGTGTTATTATTGAATGGATCCCCTACAGTAATTTACAAAATATTAAATATCTAACAAAAGGTGGATTCTCAGAGATTTATACAGCATATTGGATTGATAGACAATATAGAGAATGGAATTCTAAAAAACAACAATTAATAAGAGATGGAACTCATTACGTAATACTTAAGGAATTAAAAAATGTTGAAGATGCAAGTCAAAGTTGGTTTGAAGAGGTTTGTAAGTTAAAAATATTTAAAGAACTTAAATTTAAAATTTAATTACTAATAATAAAATTTATTAATTTTAAAGACTAAATCACATTTAACTATAAGCAACAAACATTCAGAGATTGTTCAATGTTTTGGTTTAACAAAAAATCCATCAAATGGAAATTATTTACTTATAATGAGAAAAATGGATGGAAATTTAAGAGAATATTTACAACAAAATCATAATCAACTTACATGGAATGAAAGGATTAACATTACTTATTTTATAATTGAGGGACTTTATTATGTTCATAAAGAGAATTTAATTCATAGAGATTTGCATTCTGGAAATGTATTATATTTACAGCTTAGTGATCGTTGGAAAATTGGTGATCTTGGATTTTGTGGTCCTGCAGACAAATCATCAACAAGCATATATGGAAATCTTCCTTACATAGCTCCTGAAGTTATTAATGGAAAAGGTTATACCTTTAAATCTGATATTTATAGTATTGCAATGCTTATGTGGGAAATTTCATTTGGACAACCACCATTTATGAATTATGAACATGATTATATTCTTGCAATTGATATCATTGATGGTATAAGACCAAAAATTGTATCAGAAATACCTTTAAAATATAAAAGTTTAATGGAACAATGTTGGGATGCTAATCCATTAAAAAGACCTGATACATATGCACTTTGGAAAAAAATAAGAGAAATTAAAACATATTATCAAAATAATCCAAATGAATTACCTCAATTAATAGCGAAAGTAGATAAAGAAAAAATTAACTTAAATAGTAAATCATTTACAAGTAAAATACATAAATTTGAAAACTTACCTGAACCAAAAAATGCAACAGAAGGTATAATAATTGTTTTATATTTATTATTAATTTAATCTTTTTTTAATATTCAATTACTATTAATAATATCTTCTTCTTATAAATAATAATAGAAGAACAAAAAGGTAATATAAAGATATTAATGTTTTAGTATAAGTCCTGTAATAAATAAATTGATTGAGATAATCTTTTTTTTTAAATAGCATTTTATATCACTAGATCATATGATTTTAGTATTTCTAGTAATTGTAAGTATTTATTAAAATTATATTTGAATTTTATATGATAAAATATTAAATGATTCGTTTTATTATAGCTAGTAATCTTGGTAAATCAAGTAATCAATATACACCAATTAGTTCTAAAGGTAATTTACTCATATCAGTATTTTATAATAAATAAATACTAATTTACTGTATATCTTAATTTTAGATAATGATAGTGAAGAATCACCCAGATTATCCAAAAAATTGAAGATAGATAATGGTAAAGCTTTAAAAATTCATTTATATATCGATTCTAATTTTCCTATAACATTGTTGAAGATAAGGATGAATATGTCGCTAAATTTGATTTATTGATAATAGTAGATATTCAAAATGACTATGAGAGAGAATTCACGCAACAACGATCAAATATTGGTACTAATGGTAGGTAAAATAAAATTATTTATTAATAATGATCAGCATTATTATTCTAATTTATTCTATTTTTACAGATGAAGTACAGAATAATTCAAGTCTTCATTCAGAACAAGATAAATCAGAAATTCTCGATGGTTTGTTTACTTTGTTTAATATATTAAAATAACAAAATTAACCTTCATTTACTAATCTATTTATTTTATAGATGAATTTTAAATTAATTTACGATTTAAATGCCAAATTATTATTTATCTTATGTTGAATTATTTAAACACTAAGATTAGAGTAATAGGAAGATTCTTAGTTTGTAATTTAAATAATTCAGTTCTCTTTTATTTTTTTATAAGGATTATTCAATCATTAAATAAAGAAAACTATTTATTATAAATTTATAACATTATAAAACATCATGCACGAATGTTATAATTTTGTAAAATTTATTTTAAGTGAATAATAAGAAAAATTATTTTAATTGACAGATTATAAATTCTTTATTCGATAATTTATGTTAAATTATAGAATTTTTTGATAAATACTTTAAAATTTGATGAAAATGATTAAAAGTATTTATTCCATTGATTTATGATATATTTACAACTCTGTATCACATAAAGCTTGCAATGAAAAATCAGGCAAAATTTGAATGCTATCTACAATAAAATTACATGATTGATTGTCCTTCGTAATCTAGTAACTATCGACGTTATAGAAGACAAATTTTACAATTGATGGCATAATCCAAGCGGTCCTGACAAACATAGAGTTTAAAATTTCGGACAAAGTTAGCTTTTCTCAATCCCGAAATGTAATTTTACGTCTTAATCCTCACCCCTCAACATGAACGAAGATACCACGATGTACTGTAATTACTCCAGGCTCTTTGAAGTATCAAAGAGCCAAGAATATATCACCTCCCCCATACTTTAACGTCTTTACTTTAACCAGCAATTCCAAAAATTCCATATTACATGATTTATTACGTTGACGCCCAAATAAACATTTATTTCTCTTATAAATATCCTTTTTAAATTTTAAATTTAACAATAAATCTAAATTCGTATATGTCATTTTCACCTTCCAGCATTCCCATTTAGGCCGCACCAATTCAATTTTTCGTTTAACATAACCCCCCGTTTTTGGATTTTCTATGTAAAAAAAATACATGTAATTTAGGCCGGAATTAGACAAATCTTTAAGTATTGTTTAGGCAAACCAAAACTGGATCAACCAGTATACGTACGTGGCGTGATGGATGCGTTTGCAACCGCTAATCTCGCGCCAAATAAACGTAGAGATGAGAACTCATGCAGTGTATTCCATTTCCCAAATTTAAACGAACTTTACGCCGTGCGCAATGCCGTTTGCACACTTCATCCCAATGCATTATTCGACCCTAATGCACAACCTCAACAAGAACCAATCGGCACTGCATGAATACTTAATAATGTGGCAGTTCGCAAAAGCGATTTTGCGGAGGATGATAGGTTTTTTACTAATAAATGATTAACTTTAATGAGTAATTTTCTCAAGTTCATTCACTTTTTCTTAGAGTTTTTTTATTTTCATACTGTAAAAAATGTATACAAAGTTGAAATGAATCAAAAAAAAATTCGAATAAATTCATGGTTAACGGTTTTACTATTCCGATGCAATTACAGCACATACTCACACGAAAAAATGCATACACATGTAAAAAATCTTTTTTCCCCAACGAAATTACATGTGCCTCTGTTCCAATTTGGAATGCCAAGAAAAAATTCCATACATTTTTTTCGGGAGGGCAGATTTAGTGAAACGCCATTATTTCCTTACTTTAATCACATAAAATACTTTACTAAAATAGTTAAATTGTTCTTTCGAAGAAATATAACTCCAAGAAAGCATTAATGTCTATGTTTGCCCATAATGACAAAATGATTTGGTGATTTGGGCACGGCAATTATTCCATTATATCTAATACGAAACACTTCTAGGATTTATTTCAGTAGACTAACTATTTTTGTTCACTCCAGGGACCGAACTCCACATGTTTCCTAGTAAATCACTTCAGAAAAGGATCTCAAGTGTTCTTAACTACTAATTTCGTAGATAACTGTTCCTTTTTATCATACATCTTCGACCGATAAATTATGTTGTTTTTGTGTTGTTGAAAAGCGATAATTTTCTGTTTCATATCCCATTCGAATTGAATTCTTTCAGTTCCTTTTTTTTTAATTTTCTTTTTTTTTCTTGAATCGATCTTTTACTTTCAGTTCTTTCTTTTTTTTAAGTTTCCTCTTTTCTCTTTCGAACCTTTTTCCTTTTTCTTTTCCTTTTTTTTTCCTTTTTGTTTTCCTTTTTTTTTAAAAAAAAATTTTCATTTTTTTTCAATCTTCTTCATTGTTATTTTTTTTTTTCCCAAACCACATTCTTAAACCATTTAGATTTAGATCAGTGATCGGATTGACGCTGTGGTAGGCTCAATGTAAATAGACTGACATAATTTATTTATTTATTTTTTGTAACAATAGATCGGTTTAGTAAATTCTATGGGAAAATGTTTTTCATGACAATAGATTGTTATAATTGGGGAAATTTTTTTTCATAGCAATAGATTGTTATAATTGATTTTTGGGGGATTGTGAAATATTTTTTTGGGAGGATTGCTAACTGTCGCCTGGGCGATCACCGCCTGGGTTTTTTTTCAAATATGTCACATGATGTACAAATTTATTTGGCTGATTTTTTAACTTAGCTATTTTGATCGGTTAAAACTTAAATTTTATTGCGAAGATATTTATAAAAAAAATTTTTTTTCATATTTATTCAAAATAATCTTATTTGATAAAATTTTATTTGCAAATATTAAAATTTTTTAAGCCACACATTTACGATTTTAAAGAAAAAAATCACTGTATTTAAACAATAGCAATAAATAAAAAGATAAATAAATTACAATGACCAAGGAGAAAGATGCTAATAAAAAAACGAAATAACAATGGAGTAATGGAAAGTAATAGAAGATGAAAGAGAAAAAAAGAGTAATGAGAAGTGATAGGAAGCAAAAAGGAGAAATAGGACATGATGAGAGATGAAAAGTAGTGATGGGAAACGAAAAGGAGTGATGGGAGACGAAGAGGAGTGATGGGAGACTAAAAGAAGTGATGGGAGACGAAGAGGAGTGATGGGAGACGAAAAGGAGTGATGGGAGACGAAAAGGAGCGATGGGAGACGAAGAGGAGTGATGGGAGACGAAAAGGAGTGATGGGAGACGAAAAGGAGCGATGGGAGACGTAAAGAATTGATGAGAAGATGAAGAGGAGTGATGGGAGACGTGTGTTATTATTACTCTCTTTATTACTCTCTTACTTGATGGGCAAGTATCATTCCCGCCGCAACGCGACGGGTTACATCTAGTTATTTCTAATTTTATAAGATTTTGAAATCAATTAGTTATGAACAATAGCGATGTTTTTACTATTTCGCTAATATAACATGCAGTTACGTAATCAATGCGAATTTGACTAATTCATGACGATCACTTAATAATTAAGTAACAAAACAAAAGATAAAAATAATTAATGACAACATCAGGTTTCAAAAAAAAAAAAAAAATACAATGATGCAAGATAATTACTAATCGAAGTGATTATAAACAAAATTTAATAATTGGCATCGAAAAAATATCTCCTGCATAATTTTTTTTTAGTTTCAAAAAGATAATTATGTATTAGACGTTTCGCAACTTTTTTATTAATAATAATATAAAAATATGTTGCGTATAAATTCAATAGTACTTTACAGGAATGTTTTGTCAAATACCAGCTTAGGGTTAATATTGTACAAATGAAATAGTAAAATATATAAAATATGGATATAAATAACATGATGTAGAAAGGTATTGTATGACTATTTTGATAATGCAGGCGGCAATACTTAATTCTTAATTATTGATCAGCACCCTCATGTGACATTGTGACGTTAGCTAATTTTCTATGATAAATTTTTTTCATTGATTCTTGAAACACTTGAAACATCGTTGTTCGTAGCTGACTCAACAGCTCGTAGTAATTATTTAACAACCATTTATAAGAATATATATACACATTGATCCCTGAAACCTTGAATAATTATTACGAGCTGTGAGTCAGTGATGTTTCAACAATCATTTATGAAATTTATGAAAAAATATATGTACATTGATCCTGTCCGTAGCTGACTCACAGCTCGTAGTAATTACTAAACAACCATTTAGTATGAAAATGTATATATACATGTAAAATGTCAAGCTATTCGCTATTTCAAAACTCGATTTTTGCGATTGCAGTTATACAGAAATTATGCTAGGTTGTATCATTTTAGGCGAAAAGAATGCATTTCCTGTTGATTTCGATGCAGGAAAGACCATAGGACAACTCAAACAAATCATCAAGAGTCAAGCAGGATTGGATAGTCTCCCACACAAACTAAAATTATGGAAAGTTAGTATTATCGAAAGTAAAAAATACGAGATAAATGAGGGAGTCGACATCAAAGAAAAATTCGGAGGTGAGAAATTGGACAACGATCTCAATACTATTGGAGATCATTTCAAAGAACAACCCCCTAGTAGACACATCCACATAATCGTGGAACAGCCACCGCCCGCTACCCTTCCACAAGGTACAGTATCCGCAGTTAAATTACTTGAGTGTTATTTTTAGTTATGTATCCTAACCCGCCACTATTCACACATATAGATGTGGTTGATTGGAGTAATGTTAATTCAATTTACAACTGGATAAAAACTTTGAAGCGTTCCAGTGAAATCGCGGCACCCAAAGTATATTTTAGTTTTCAACCTGTTGTTGCCTCCTCTGTTACTGATTACTAATTTATGTATATTATCAGTTAGTGGATTCGTATGGTGCCAAGTTTCCTTTACAGGGTAGAGACGAAACAATGAAAATATTATTTAATGGTAATGGATCACGGGATGGGATGTGTCAAAGATTTGAAAACCGTAAGAAGATAGATCGAAACATCCACCCTATTCCTCTATTGGCAAATGGGCCAGGTACTGGAAAGAGCCGATTCCTCCAAGAAATTCCAACTTTATTACGCGAGAATGCTGAAAATTATATGAATGATGATAAACTCTTGAATAGAATCAAAGATAGGATGTATGCCATAAATGTTACCTTCGGAAATAGTACTCCTGCAAAATTGGTAGATGCATCTCTTGGTGAAACATCGGTCGCACTGAGAATTCTTTTTGGACATTTTATTGCCGGTGGAACTATTGACTATGAAAAATTTGTGAGGATGTGTGGTGACACCATCTACAATCAACAAATTACAATTAGTGGTGCATTTGAGATTGTTCTCAAGGATATTGGCACAGATATTGACATAATTATCTTTGGAATTGATGAGTTAAACATTTTGCACAGTAAGAGAGGTTATAACAATCCAGTTCGTGAAATTGTGCATGCTGTTGGTGGATTAAATTGCTCTGGTTCTGGAAGTCCATTCTATGTACCGATCTTGGCTGGAACAATTCAAGGTCCTCTTGAAGAAATGTTCAGAGAATCAACATACCGTTTTCTACCTTTACCACTTCGCCTTCTTCGGGAACGGGAGGTTCGGAAAATTAGCGAATTTATTGCTTGTTATGAACATAATCATGCTCTAAAAGATTACATCAAGAGTGATACTTTTCATCGTTGTATTAGTGACTTTGGTGGGCAAATTCGGGCTCTAGAAATTTTCTATATAGATTTGTTGAAGAAACTTAAACGTGGAACAAATAATGTGGATTACATACATTGTGTGTCACATGTAAAGGAAGAACTTATGGATCGATACAAATTTAAGAAGTTCGCTAACATTATAACTCCAGCAATTGCACATGCCATCCTTAATATCCCTGTGTCTAAGGATGATGAAGCTGATAAAGGTGGAAAAATATCTTACATTGACCTCTCATCAGAAGGTATTCTAAATTTGGAAAAAGTAGCTAATAACACTTCCTTTTATGTCCGCATGCCTTATATATGGATGGTCATTTTAACATCATATAACAAATCATGTAAATTTTGGGAAGCTATGATTCGGCAAGATTCTCATATTTTTTGGGAAAGCTTTGAATTTTTCAATATGAAATTTTGGACTTTACGGCTTGCACTTCTTTCAATCTTGAATAAGAACAAAAACGTGACAATGAAAGATCTCTTCAGAGGCGCGTATAATCTTAATGAATTTGAGTTTTTAGAGCATCAAGAGTGTGAATTTAAGCTCCCTGACGAAAGTTCCATAAAATATCGGGAACTTAAACATCGGTATCCTCATATATCACAGGATGAACATCTGTCACCTTGTACCGTATATAAGAATTGTAAAGGAACTCCAATTGATCTCTTTTTTTTCATTAATAATTACCTTTTTGCGATCCAAGTAAAATCTTCAGACGATAAAACTAATCAGCCCCAGACTTTAAGCAAGAAAATGATAAAAGCCATGTATGATAAAACTGAAAAGGCATTTAAAAAATTAAAGGAAAAATTTCCTGAACTTAAGGACTGGATGCTTTTCATATGTACAAACGGACCTAAGGCTGAAGATGCTTTAGACTTATTATATCCAAATTGTCTTGTAATATATAAAGCAAATTTCAAGGATTTTTATGGATATACGTATTCTAGTCGTGCTGAATTTTCTGAAGGTACGAGTTTGTGATTTAAGATATCTTAATGTTACATTATATAACCTTTTATTATTGTTTCATATAGCCAATGATAAATTGGACGCTAATACTGCTTCGGAATATGAACTAAGAACCGTTGAAAAGGTAAAAGAAAAAACTGCGCATGAAATATGTAAAAAAAGGCTATTTAATGATGAAGTTGATCTATATAGCAAAGTCAGTATGAATAAACAAGCAAAGAAAAGGATTAAGGTCGTAAAAAAAAATTAATTAGTGGGAAGTTAATTTCTGCTTCAATCAACATACTTGCATTTTGTGATAGAACAATTTAATAGTTTTTAACTGTAATAATTTCATGTAACATATTTAAAATTTTTTAGCTGTAACGATTTCATGTAACATATTTTTTAAAATTGTAACAGTTTCATGTAATAATATATTTTTTAAAAGTCTGCAATGCATATGAAGCTTTGTTTTTCAGAATAGAGTATAAAATTTTATTACAAAGAAATAAATGATATAATGCGAGATCCTGCGTCATATTATTTCATTTATGGTAATTTCTACAGCTATCGCTATAAATACATCTAACTATTAAGATTCTCACACTTTCATTCATTCGGGAAAATAAACAGAAGTTAGTTTATCGAACATGTATTCGCATAGGTATAACCGTGAAGAATCTTCACAATCAAAATTACGTGTGCGTGAAAATAAATACAAAGCTCAGGACTAGCGCCCGAGTCTAAGATAAATAGGGAAGATTTTTTTTAGATAGATAATTTCGTTAGAAAATTTTTAATCATCCAAAATAATATTACTAACTTCAACTCCTAATTCTTGTGCTTTCTTTTTCCGGTATTCCTGGTAAGCCCAATTAGCAAATTCTCCTTCGTCTGGTTGAAAACCCGCAAACCTTAAATCTCTTAACAAGTGAAATTTTTTTTTGATAGAGAATTTCGTTAAGAATTTTTTTTAATAGGAGGGAGTTTCCTTGATAAAGAATTTCTTTTGGGAATTTTTTTTAATAGGTGAAAGTATTTTTGACGGAGAATTTTATTAGAGAATTTTTTTTTAATAGGGGATATAATTACGGCTAATTATTTTTTGAGCGATACTTCCTTTCTGATGCTTCTTCCGCACATACCCTGATGACTGATCATGAATTTATTTATCATAGCCTATTAGCCTATGCTCGAATTTTTCAGAATATAAATAAAACTTCCAAATAAACTTAAAGATTTTATTGTAACTGATCGTGTATTGTGCGATTTACAAAAATTGAAACAAAGTAATACAAGATAATATATGCTATACTATACAATATAAAAAACTCCCCTACCTCACGATTTACAATATAAAGAGGGAGTATGCATTATCTGAATTAATCACACCACCGAAAATTTGAGTTTATTTAATTTAAACAAGAGTTCACGTTTAAAGGGGAGTTAGGACTATAAAATGTAAAGTATATGAAATGTTGAAATGGAGCAAAGGGGAAATAAAAAGAATAAGGGGTAGTGCAAAGAAATGAAAAAGATGAAGTGGGAATGGAAATAACAAAGGATAGTGTAAAGAATTACGATGATCACATGCAATTTTAATAGTAATTTGGGGCCTTAATTTTGGTCCAATTCCGATAATAAGCCAGTTTTTATTATGATGAAAATATTTGAAGTGTTGTGAAACGTTATTTATATTTATTTTCAATTCTATAAAAACAACTTGTAATAAGATGTTTTATCTTCTTCTTAAGTATCAACTATTCTGCTGAAAGATGACTTAATTTAGTAATGAATTGTCCTAATATTATTTAATTGATCACGCATTCTCGCCCAAATAAGAATTGCGGCGGATACCTATAAATAGAAAATAATAAAAATAATAATATATATTAAATAACTTTAAGCAAAAAAAATATTTTTTAAATAATGTTACAATATACCATTTATGTATAAATTTAAAAAACAATTGTCATCATCATACGTATTTATATTTTAAGATTTTATTTGATTTTATCGTAGATGAACCTGTTTTTTAAATGGTAGATTCTAAAGAACTTAGATGCATAATAATTTTTTATATTGTCATTTACATGTGAAAAAAAAAAAATTATTTATAACAATAAACAATCGCTTTTTTCAGGTCAAGATGATTTTAGTATAAATATTTTGCTAAAAATACTTATCATATTATTCGACTGAATTAAAAGGTTTACAGATACAAATAAATATAATAATACAACTATACAAGTAGTCTTTTAGATATAAATAAATTACCGTGTCACAATTTTCCAACTTATTGTTTTGCTTTAATATAAAATAATAGAATATATTGATATTAGATTTTTTTTCAATTATTATTAATCGATATGTAATATTTTGCCCAATGATCTTTTGGTTAATCCTTTTCACACTGGATACGCCACTATACTATGAATATATTAGTGATAAAATATTCTAGATCAAAATGTTGTAGAATAGAACTTGTTTAATGAATATAACTTTGTGGGAATTGTTAATTATGATAAAGTAATTTAACGATAATTTTTTTATTTTTTTAAAAAAAAAAAAAATCAAAAAAAAGTGTTCTAGACCTACTTTTTTTTAAAATTAGACCGAATTATTAGGCCGAACAATTATTAAAGAATCTTATTAAAGTGCTAATCTTTTAGAGACTTTAAGACTAGCTTCTTTTCTTTCGAAAGAACGTGGTAAAAGGCTTAAATTTAAGACCGCAAATATTTCCCTTTTTTCAATAATGCCAGCCGACATTCTGTAATTCCGGCCCTAAAGAGACGCAAGTTCGAACTTCGAATGTGCTGATCTCGGGTGATATTATTTTTAAATTCGTTGATCCATATGATATTTATGTCGATCGCTAGTAATTTTTTTCCGATAGCCGTCTTAAATAATGCTCTTTATGTGAACTCATTTAACAATAGCATATTTTAATACATAATATTTATCAAATAGTTTATTATTCAAAATAATTTTTTTTTTCACGCCACTTTATATTCCCCACTTTCTGCAGATCCTTGGCAGTTAACTCATGGATCATGTATTAATGTATATTTTTAAATGAAAAAGGTGTTCAGATGTATCACTGTCATGATAAATGTTATAATAAACGAGTTGGGTGGTTTCCAACTTAATCTGTTCCATTTAATCTCCATTTTCAACATTTGAATATTAATAATTTTGATGAAGAATTAAACCTAAAGAAGAAAAAAAACAAAAGAAGGCTCCCATTAGATTATTGTCTTTATATGATAAACAAGAATATGTTCGATGTATATCATTCATTTCAGTCAATAATAATGACAAAAAGTACCTTCTTTAATTAATTATATGAAGTTAAAGCGAAATCATGCATCTGTCTCTAAAAGAAGTTACAAGAAATCCAAATTTGGCCTACAAGTTTTATAGATTAATTCTGTGTCGATCATACTTTGTGGTGTCAAACATGGTAACACAGTCCAATTGAATCTCATCGTAAAATCGTAAAATCTGCAAATCGTCGACCTATAAATTAATTAGCGTCACTTTGCATGGTAAAATGGTAAATGTGGCAACAAATGTGAAACAAATCCGGGATTTATAATCATAATTATAATTTAGGAATATCACAGCTATGCTAACCCAAAATACCAAAGTCTTTATAAATTAAAAAAATTTGTAAATGTATAATTTCTTTAGAAATTTTATTATAAACCTTAATAAATTCTAACACAAAAAATAAAATTTCCAAAAAAAAAAAAAAATATTTTTATTAATATTCCAAACATGATCGCGAATCTTTTGCTGAATAAAAAAGTATCGATTTTTGACTATACTTTGAGGCGTATGTTCTTTTTCCCGTTGTTTCCAAGCTATACTAGGTTATAATTAACAATAATCCATTTTCTGTATAGATAGATTAATAATCAAGTTATATCTCAACCACGATATCTCTCTCTATCCTATTACGTGAAGATTTAAAAGATGTCGTTTTAAGATCTCAATTTTTTCTGACTAATAAAACTTGGTTTTGATTTACCTATTAACTTTTTAGCTGTCGAGATTTCATTCGACACGTAATTAATTATCGAAATGTTTTTTCATTATTAGTGATTATCATGGAATGATTTGTAGAATTTGTAGAATGTTATAGAATGGTAAGACTTCTCTGAGATATTATCTCATTCATTTGCAGCTTTATGATATATCGCTTCTTATCCATGATGAGACGTATTCCGTTGCTTTGACCATCATTCTTAAGATATTTGTGGCCTGAAATCTTTAAAGTGACCTAATTCTTGGTGGAGAGTACGATATATATCTGCATCGCATATGTTACACCAATAAAAAAAAATTAGATAATATTAAATTTCGGGGTCAAAACATCTAAAATGGAAAATATCAAAAACTTTCACATATTTTCTATCCGCTTAATATGTTGATTTTTTACCAACAACTAGCCAGCTCTCCAAAATTTTCGGAAAGATTCGCGGTATATAACGCCGCCCTCATTATATTTCGGTCTATAATAAAAAATAAAATTATAAGTTTTCAATTGATACCATATCCTCCGGTGTAAGATTCATAACAAGATCCATAATCGATATGTCCTCCGCCGCCGTAAGATTCATAACAAGATCCATAACCGATATGTTCTCCGCCGTAAAGATTCATAACTGATTATTAGTTAAAACCAGAACAACTAAAATTAGTATACTGGAGAATCTAAAACAATGCGTAAGTGCATAATGAAATTTTAATATAATAATTATTTTAAATATTGTAAAAAATTTTTTTTTTTTCTTGGAAAAAAAAAAAAAAAAAAAAAAAAATTTATTGAACTTTAACTAATTTAACTCAATAATTATTATTAATCGATAAACCATAATCGATAAACCATTAATTAATAAAAAAATAATGAAGGAATATTTTTTTTTTGCTTCTTATTTTTACTATTCTATATATTCAAACATCCATAATATAATTTATATTCATTATTTTAGAAATGCGTTCATAACTTTTTTCCTCACTTTTACTTTTACGTTTTTGACTTCGTTCTTTACTATTCCAATAATTTTTAACTTGTAATTCAGTTCTTCTTCCTTGCTTTCTATTTTCTGATAATTTCTTCGCTATTTCTGACCATTTCTTATAATATTTATTATTATAACATGGATTGGTTTGAAGATCATCGATTTTACATTTTTCTTCGTATGTTAACTCGGATTTATCAACTATAATATGAAATCGAATTTCGCGTAGAATTTAAATCACAAAGTAGTTAAATATTTCGAAATAAAATAAATTAAGTTATCGATTGTTAAAAAAGAAAAAGGAAAAAAAAAGGAAAAAGAATACAAACTAGATTCATCCAGATGATTAACATATCTAAAATAAAAACGTAATTAGAGGTAAGTACTAATTCTTAAAGTAAAAATGAATATTTTGACATTTTGTTTATAATTATTATAGAAAAGATACTCACTGTCCACGAACACTTTGATGAGTACGATTTAATTTAGCTGCAATTATCTTCCATTTATCTGTTCTATCCGAATATTGATTATATAGTTCAATAAGTTGTGCTTCCTTTAAATATTAAAGCAAATTAACACACTCTCGCTAATAAGCTTTCTTTTTTGTATTAAATTTCGTAATTAAAGTATGAAATATAGATCAAATTAAAAGAAATTTTTCACATACCTCAAAGGTATATAATCCTGGGGTTCTTTTCGATCCTAATTTTTTGTAAGTTGGCATTTTGTTATCGGAAATATTTGAAATATTTAATTATGAAAATATGAAAATATGAAAATATGAAAATAAAAAGTGAAATGTAATTGTAAGAGTTATATTTACGTGAAAAATATTTAAAAACAAATATATTATTTAATTGTTTTAAATAAAATGTATTTTGAAAAAGGTGGTTTAAAAAAAAAAAATGAAGTGTAATGTAAGTAGTTATGAAAGAAAGATATTAAGGAACGTTAAAAATTTCAAAAGCATTAATTATAAACCGTGATACAAAAATATGAAAAAAGAATTTTGGAATGTTATATAGTTTGTAATTATCAGTAAATACAAAAATACTATAATACCACATATATAATTTATTATTATGTTGCAGGGGCTGTATGCACTGTATTTTTGAATAGTAATTGATTTGTATCTACCAATTTTGATTTTTTAAATGAACTCTTATGGAATAGTAAAAGCCTAAACTAATCAATACATTTGGTTTACTTAAAGGTTAAAGAAAGGTGGTTTAGTATGTCATTTTTGACTCTTGCATGCAATATGTTAAAGCATATGCACAGATTTATTAATATACACATATATAGTTTAGTAATGCCAAATTGAACTTAGCTGACCGCCCAACAAAATCTTATTTAAGCTTGCCTAGAAATATAAGTGTTCGTGTTACATCTTACTTTCATAATGATCGTGCAACGTTTCTCAATCAAAGTTTTTTAGATTTGGCGTTTTCGGGCCGTTTTTTTTTTTTTTGATTTCTTACTGGAAATGGCAATAAAAGAATTGAATAGGAAATATAATATGAATTATTTTAGATTGTACTAGAAGTCTTTAGAAAATTTTAACTAATCTTTTAAAGTCATCCTTTAAATTCGTAAAAATTCCCATTTACTCCATTTTTTTGGAAGTAAAAGATAAGAATACTTAAATGGAAGGTATAAAAATACATCATATAAATGACAATGATGTTTCTATTTTTTAATGTTCATTTAAAATCTGTTGTGTAACATAGCACCAGAAACTCCGGTATTCTTTATTTTTTTTTTGATTAAAACTCTAACATATTAAAAAAATCCGAAATACTAAATATGGTTTACAAAAGATTTCAAGATTTAAACATAAATCAGCCGATTAACTTTATAACGATTCTTTATTATTAGAGAAAAACAATAAATAAATAAATATTGATATCATTTTGAACATGTATAAATACTAAATAAAGAAATATTTAAAAATATTCTTTAAAAATCTATAGGTTAAAACGTTATTATTGAAAAATTCTTTAATATTCATTTAATTCTTTTTTTTTTTTTTTTTTTTTTTTTTTTTTTTTTTTTTTTTTTTTTTTTTTTTTTTTTTTTTTTTTTTTGCTTTTTGTGTACTTTGTATTTATAAATACGGGTTTTCTAAAAATAAAAAAAAAATAATATGATAATTTTTAATTTAGTATTTCTATATTAAATTTTGCACTACAACTCGTGATTTTTTATGAAATTCTAATCATGGAATAATATAACGTAATAGCTTAGAAATATATTCATGCAGTAATGATGTTATTTCTTAGAAAGGATTTTCATTTTGGTAATTATTAATGAAGTTAATTTTAGCCAGAATTACAGAATTAAAATTTTAATTTTCAAATTCCTAAAATAGATAATGACGAGAGAGAAAGGAATTAAAAACATAAGTATCATTATTTTGCTGATCTTTCCTTTCTTAATCTAATATTAAACAAAATTATAATTTAAATTAATTCTTGAATCGCAATTCGCAACCATACTCTATTATGGTCGCGGTTTGAGTGGTCATCGAAATATCGATGATATTCGTGGCATTAAATTCCTAGAAATACTATAACTACAAAACAGGGATAATGCAAAATCCATGAAAAACATATAGAAATATTTTGTGTAGAGTTGCTTATTAAATTAAACAGAGTTTCTCATTAAATTATCACTTTAAGTAATCATAATATTTTAAGGAAATTGGAATAATTTGCTAAAATTTTGTTTGTTAAAGTTCTTATAAGCATGATCTGAAGAAGTATGATATTTTAAGCTTCAATTGTAATGTCCATTATAAAGATTTTAACAATGGTTAAATTTGTTCCTTACTTCATCATATTTATAATGTTGATATTCTCTATATTTTCTAATATCTTATCAAATTTCTACTTTATATCAATAGTATGTATAACTATGGTGTGATGCTTTCAAGCAAAAGCTTTTAGTACAATTTTTTAATTGCCTTTACAAGTCCCTGGAAACCATTTTTTCTAATTATTTAATTATAAATGGAATGACAAAGTTCCAGATTTGAATGATGTCTGTTGTAGCAATTTATAACTTTTGCCTTTTTTTGTAGTATGTTTATTTTTCAACATAGTTGTCTATTATGGATTCCAAATACTTATTAAATTCATATTATTTTTTTTTATATATAGTAATTTATCTTTTTACTCTTATATTTTATAATTAAGTTTTTTATATCCATGTAATTGAACTGGTTATCCATTATAACTAGTACTGTATGTAATAGTTATCAGTTATTGTTATTAGGAAAATAGGAATACTAGGAAAATAGAAGTAGATGTTCAGAACTTTTGAGTTCACATTATTACCATTTCTTAAGATATTGTTACCTTTCTATTTTTTCATAAAATACCATTATTATCTATTAATGTTATTATTCTTTGCATCATTTCTCGCATCATTATTTCTTCCTGATTGGGTGACAGCTACATTAGGGTAATGGTAAAATTTTTATTTAATCTAATCATTGGCTATAATTTTGGTCTATTTTTATAATTATTAAGCTCATGGGTCTATGGCCCATATCTTTTACAACTAGCTCTATTACCGACCTTTTGTTATAAAAATTCAGTAAAACCTCTTAATTAAATACCAATGTGAAATATCTCTCATGTTACATTCGTTTAAAAACAATAGGCTATCAAGCTATCAAGCTATTCAAATAAATATATTGATTAAATTAATTGTATAATAACCAGAACTCGTCTAATAGGTTGTTATGAAAATGACGATCGTAAAATGAGGGAAGGTGTTCGGATAACATCGTTGTTAATAAGACTCCGCTGCTTAGAGAAAATTTGTTGTACATTAACTTGCTTATTTTTCGGCAAAGTATCGTATTTCAGAATAACCTCTTTCTATATATTAAAATAATATTAGATAATACACTATGTAGCACTAACATTAAGATTATTATAAATGTGATTTGAAATTCTCATTCTCTGTCACAGAGTCAACTCAACTCGTCCTTTCACTCTTCTGTCATTATACATTTTACAAAAATTCTGTGGTTACTAGCTATTATGACTATATAATAATAATTTTAACCAAAAATTTAATATATATTATTTTGAATTCTCAAATTTCTACAAGCTTAAAACTCTTTCAAATAATATTAAGTTTCATAAAATTATTGTATTTTGTTTTTTTTTTAAAAAAAAGAAATAAATAAATAAAATTGTTGTCATTTTTTCTTTGCAATAGCTCTTTTATTATTATTGCTTTGCATTCATTCTCTCAGTTCAATTACTTTCTACAAATAGACCTATAATTTATCATGCATGTAGTATTATGAAGTTTTATTATATTTTTGGTGTTCTTAGTGTTCTTTTTTGTATTTGAGTAGTTAATTAACTCCTAGAATAAAATTAATTGTATTTATGAATATATTTTCTGACCATTATTGCTTTAAAAAATAGGCCTTCTTTCAGTTCGCTTATGTAAGTGAAAGAAATTTCATTATATTTAAATCCAATTCTTTAATATAAGGAAAAAATCATGAATCGGCTGGTATTCTTGATAATTTATACAGTCCTGGACTCCTGCTGAGGTTAAAGAAAAAATGTCTTTAAATGTATGCTTTATATATATAAAAATATTATTGATGTACTCAGCATGAACTTAGTGTTTGTTTTACTGAGCTGTACAGATAACATCAAACCCTCTATCTAAGACATTGATTGATAACAAAGAACTTCATTAGAAAATTCATTGTATATTACAGATACTATATGACATTGTGACCTTGTTTATAAAGAGTTACATACTCAACAGTTCCCTAAATAGCCTATGGTAAGAACAATATCAAATTGGCTTACAAGGAACTATAACAATGCATTTTTTACATGGTTATTTTATTTATTTACCAGTACTTATTATATACCAACAATCTATCAACTATAAAGCTCCATACACACATACAAAGGTTGCCATGAAATGTGACTGAGAGGATTTGATCTTGATACAATAACAAAATTATCATAAGAGATTATACTCTATACTCTTTGAGATGGCATTTTATTTATTATAAGATTTTTCATGAATTTTTTAAAATGTAAAGTATGCAAAAATCAACATTTTTTTATATCTTAGAATGTAGAGATTTGCTCATTTCAATATTACTTTTCTAGTTGTGAAATAGGAAATTATTAAATATAAATTATTAAGATTTTTTGGTCATTTTTATGAAATATCAATCATAGATATCACATATAACATCAGGCTTTATCTAATATATTTTTTATTGATGTATATTAAAGAATATGGTAAGCTACTATAAGCTAGTAATCTAATATGATTGATTTCTAAAACTATGTTTTAATATATTTTTGGTATATAAAATAATTTTGATATTTTTTTTATTTATTTTAATTTAAAAAGTTTCTATCACTTCCTCCTGCAAGAATTTCTAATATATTAAATTAACTAATGAAAAACGTTTCGCAACGTTTTTTTAATTCAAAAATGCAAGAGAATATATTCAAGAAGAATATGATATTCAAGGAGATGATAAAATTTATTATTATTAATAAGTTTACTCAATATTATAATTATGTAGAATTTTAAAATTTGAATGGTAATGACTTTCAAAAAAAAAAAATACTTATAATATTAAAATCTGTGCTATGCTAAAATTTTGAACAATGATTTTTTCAAGAAATAAGTTTGGATCTTGAAAGTTTTATCTTTGTAAAA